TTTTGGCAACTTTTAGACACTTTTATCGGCAACTTTTAGACACTTTTATCGGCAACTTTTAGACACTTTTATCGGCAACTTTTGGCTAGGCCTACTACTGGCAGTTTTGGCATTTTGGCCACTAATGGCCTTTTTGGCATTTTGGCCACTAGTAGTAGTTGTGGCATTTTGGCCACTAGTTGCCGTTTGGGCATTTTTGGCACTAGTTGCCGTTTAGTCATTTCGGCCATAAGTGGCCGCCTTGGCATTTTGGCGAGTAGTGGCTATTTTGGCATTATGGCCACTACTGGCTGTTTTGACAAATTGGCCACTAGTCGCCTTTTTAGCATTTTGGCCGCTTTGGTACTTTGGCCATTAGTGGCCATATTGGCATTTTTGCCACTGGTGGCCGTTTTAGCCTTTTGGCAACAAGCCGCGATTTTAGCATTTTGGCCACTGGTGGCAGTTCTTGCATATGAACCGCTAGTGGCCCCTTTGCCGGGCACTTCGGCTACTAGTGGCCATTTTGCCATTTTGCCACTAGTAGCCGTTTGGGCAATTTGGTCACTAGTGGCCGTTTTAGCATCCTGGCCACTAGTGGCCGTTCTGGCATTTTGGCCACTGCTTGCGGTTTTGGTATTTTGGCCACTAGTTGCTGTTTTGGCATTTCGGCCATAAGTGGCCGCCTTGGCATTTTGTTGAGTAGTGGCCATTTTAGCATTTTGGCCACTAGTGGCCGTTTTGGCAATTTGGCCATTGGTGGCCGTTTTTTCCTTTTGGCCACTAGTGGCCACTAGTGTCGGTTTTGGTATCAGTGGCAACCAGTGGCGGTTTTGGCATTTTTGCCACTGGTGGCGGTTTTGGCATTTTGCCCACTGATAGCAGTTTTGGCACTTTGGCCACTACTAGCGGCTCTCGCCTTTTGTCTAGTGGCTGTTTTGGCATAGGTGGACGCATTGGCATTCTACCCATGCCATTAGTGGCCATTTTGCCATTTTTGCCAAAAGTGGCTGTTTTGGCAATTTGGCTACTTGTGGCCGTTTTAGCATTTTCACCACTAGTTGCGGTTTTGGTGTTTTGGCCACTAGTGGTGGTTTGGCATTTTAGCCACTAGTTGCAGTTCTCGAATTTTGGCCACTAGCTGCCGTTTTGGCATTTCGGCGGCCATTAAGTGGCCACCTTAGCATTTTGCGAGTTGTGGCCATTTTGGCATTTTGGTCACTACTTGGTGTTTTGGCATTTTGGCCACTTGTGGCCGTTTTCGCATTTTGGCCACTAGTGCCCGTTTTGGCATTTTTGCCACTAGTAGCGGTTTTGACATTTTAGCCTCTAGTGGCCGACTTGGCATTTTGGTCACTAGTGGCGGTTTTCGCATTTTGGTTACTAGTGGCGGTTTTCGCATTTTGGCGAGCAGTGGCCATTTTGGCATTTTGCCCTCTACTGGCCGTTTTTGCAATTTGACTATTACTGGCCGTATTAGTATTTAGGCCACTAGTGGCGGTTTTTGCATTTTGGCGAGTTGTGGCCTCTTTGTGTGTTTGTGTTTTGTGCACTAGTGGCCCATTTGGGGTTTTGTCCACTACTGGCTTATTTGGGGTTTTGTCCACTAGTGGCCGATTTAATGTTTTGTTCATTAGTGGTCGATTTGGGGTTTTGTCCGCTAGTGGCCGATTTGTGGTTTTGTCCAGTAGGGGCCGATTAGGGGTTTTTCCACTAGTGGCCGATTGAACGTTTTGTCCACAAGTGGCCGAGTTAGTGTTTATTCTACTATGGGCTGACTTGGGGTTTTGTCTACTAGTGGCCAATTTGTGGTTTTGTCCACTAGTGGCCTATTTGGGGTTTTGTGCACTTGTGGCTGATTTGGGGTTTTGTCCAGTAGTGGCCGATTTGGCGTTTTGTCCATTAGTGGGTTATTTGGGGTTTTGTCCTGTAGTGGCCGATTATGGGTTTTGTCCAGTAGTGGCCGATTTGGGGTTTGGTTCACTAGTGGCTGATCTGGGGTATTTTTCCCCTAGGGGCTGAGTTGGGGTTTTTTCCACTAGTGGCCGATTTGGGTTTTTTTTCTACTAGTGGCCGATTTAACGTTTTGCCCAGTAGTGGCTGATTTGAGGTTTTTTCCACTTGTGGCCGATTTGGGGTTTTGTCAAGTTGTTGCCGATTTGGGGTTTTGTCCACTAGTGGCCGATTTAGGGTTTTGTCCAGTAGTGGCCGATTTGAGGTTTTGTCCACTAGTGTCCGATTTGGGGTTTTGTCCATTAGCGGCTGTTTTGGTAATTTGGGTAATTATGGCCGTTTTAGCATTTCGGTTGTTATTGGCCGTTTTGCTATTGTAGTCCTTAGTGGCGGTTTTTGCATTTTGCTCACTAGTGGTTGTTTTTTGGCAATTAGTTGTGGTTTTCGCATTTTGGACACCAGTGGCTGTTTAAGTCGGCCATAAGTGGCCATGTTGGCATTCTAGCCACTAGCGGCTATTTTGGCCACTGGGGAATCTTTCTGCATTTTAACCACCAGTGTCTAATGTCGCATTTTGGCCACTGCTGGCTGTTTTAGCATTTTAGCCACCATAGTGGTCCTTTTGCAATTTGGCCAGTAGTGGTCGTTTTGGCATTTTGGCCACGAGTGGCCCGGTTTTGGCATTTTCGCCACTAGTGGCAGTTTTGGCATTTTCGCCACTAGTGGCAGTTTTGGCATTTTGGCTACTAGTGGCCGTTTTGGCATTTTGGCCATTAGTTGCAGTTCTCGCATTTTGGCCACTAGTTGCCGTTTTGGCATTTTAGCCACTAATGGCCGTTTTAGCATTTTTGCCACTAGTGGCTGTCTTGGCATTTTGGCCACTTGTGGCTGTTTTGGCACTTTGGCCACTAGTGGCCGTTTTGACATTGATCTTGATAAGGCTGGTTGCTTTTTTGGTCTGTTGGCCACCTGTGTCAGTTTTAACATTTTGGCCAGTAGTGGCTGTTTGGACATTTTTGTCACTAGTAGCTGAATTAGCAATTTGACAGTAGTGGCCGTTTTGGAATTTTTTCGCTTCTGGTGGCGCGGTTTCTGCATTTTGGCAGGAGGGAGGGGTGGCGCGGTTTCTGCATTTTGGCAGGAGGGAGGGGTGGCGCGGTTTCTGCATTTTGGCAGGAGGGAGGGGTGGTGCGGTTTCTGCATTTTGGCTTTTAGTGGCCAAATGTCAAAACATCCAGGAGTAGTCGTTTTGCGATTCTAGCCTATAGTGGAATTTTTGGCATTTTGGCCACTAGGAATACGAAAGGAATACACTAGGAATACTCTGATTATTTCCATCGAAAAGAAACAGAGTCGGCGGAAAAAAAATGCTTAAGAGTTTCACTTTTTTTATCTGTATTAGTTTACCAGGAACTCATTCTGTGGATTCCCGTGGAAAAAAAACATAAAAAAGCTGATTTCAAATGCTACCTTGAAAAATAACAAAAAAAGTCAACAAAACTTGCTGTCAACCCACGATATGGACTGGGAGGGTTATAAAATGACAGGTGATACTTGCAATCTGCTTGGCTCTCATTGGTGTGATTTATTCACGAATCGCATAGTTTCTTGTCCTTAATCACATCTTTTTCCCAGCTTATGAGAAATCTTTATTAAAACAGAATAACCAATTATATTTCAAGGCTTGTTAACTAATCAAATTAGAGAAAAATGAAAAGGAACCTTTGCAACTGTTTACAAACCAGCTCAGCACTGGATCAGTGAAAAATTTTTAACAGAAAAAAAACCTGTGTTTGTTAGCGGCTGTATTTTGCGCTTTCAAAATTGATGTAATAGAGTGGTTATTGACTTTCGTGTCGTGCCATTTTGGCCTGAAATCACACTTGTGATGTCAAGTCAAACTCGCGCTGCGCTCGTTGAAATCTTGAAATCACTCGTCGTATCACTTTAGACCAAACTGCACTCCACTCTGTTAAATTACCAATATAAACAAACCCACTTCTGACTTGTTGGTATGTCGCTTGATAAAGTCCTTGGCTGAGAGATTGTCCTCAAAATTTCTTCGAAGCTTCGCTTCTCGACCAAATATTCATTTTTATTTGGACAATATCTCAGCTGCGGATATTATCAGCCGACATACTGGGCGCCTGAAAGGGTTTATTTACGAAATACCTGTAAATAACTAAATAAAACCTCATTCGCTGCAGACCCTTATAAAGACTTCTACTCGTAGCAATCTGGACTCTCGAGCAATAAATAATGAGTTACCAGGCAAAAATATGATGTATGAAATAAAAGAACAATTAATACAAAGGAGAACAAGATATCTTCAATTCGGATCAATTTGACGCCATACTCCTAAGACATATATTGGGATATCAGAGGAGTGATCGACTTCTTCGCTAAACTCTGTATATTGTCTCAGTTAAACACGAAACAGAGCTTAAACAGAAACGAGATGAATCACACCTTAAGTCCCGAAGTATTTCATTGATATAGCTTGAACTCAGCTCTCCTCTAGCTAAGAACCGAGCTCTTTCTTTTAACCTCAGTTCCCGCCAACAGAACTCAACAACTCAGTTTGAATGATAAATAACAAACATCTCCACCAAGAATGCTGCGAAATAAAAAACGCTATTCTTCGCGTTAATTAGAGAAGAAAAGAGACTAAAAACAAGTGCCTCACAAAATATTTTCACAATCCTTCAGCAATTACACTTTATATTACGAGAAAAACTTTTGATTTTTTCATCCTTGATCATCTTATTTACTCTCAAAACAGACACTGTATTTTATCACTGTCGCTACTTGTTGTGGTTTTTGGTGTTATTTTTAGCGGTTATTTTGCTTCTGTTGTCGTTTAAGCTGAATGGTGTTAATTTCATTTACGATCATGCATATATTCTGATTTATCTCATTTATGTATGCCGCCAGTCATTGTCGTTACTGGTTTTATGATAATTGCCTCTATTGATGTTGTTTTTATTTGTTGCTCCTCTTGATGCCACTGAATTGGTGCTGTTTAAAATGTTGACAGTCCGTTCGGGATAACAGCTGGTTGTTGATGGTTTTTTTTTTTCCACTGCTCAGAAAATGTCGTTCCTTGTTTGCTAAAGATATTCACAAGTATCCCACTGTCGTTGGTTTTTCCTGTTGTTACTGTTTTTGTTATTGTTGCTCTCCATCATCATCGTCTTAATTTCCCGCTTCTTCTTCTATTTGTTATCGTACTATAAAACATTTTGTTTACACATAACTCATCGGCGAAGAGTTTTCTGTCGCACCGTATGCGAAGCGATCTTCTTTGAAAAACATCCAAAGCCTTCCACGAAAGCAAAAAGACAGCCGCTTCAACACAAGTCTTCTCAATTGTTTATCAACGCAGGTATAAACCACAGGATTTAAAACAGCGTTTAGATACGCCAGCCACTTTGTGACACTCGCTCCGGTAGGATCCAATGTATAAAACGCAAAACAAACGCTCACAATAATAAACGGCGCCCAACAGCACAAAAAACTTCCAATTACAAAGGCAACAGTCTTAGCAGCTTTGAGGTGTCTCTTTATTTCTTTATGCCAGTGGTGATGATTGCTTTCTTCCTCTTCTCTACGGGACAGGCCACGTGTGTGTCGCATAGCAACGCGAAACATACTTCCGTAAGCTGCAATGATTATTAATGAGGGAAGAAGGAAGCTTGCACACATGACAAATATGGCGTAACCTGGAAAAGAAAAATTTTCATCATTGTTAACTGATTATCCTAGGTCATCCATTCATTCAGTCATCTGTTATTTTGTCGCTTAGCCATCAGGGGGTCTAGCCTCTCTGCCGTCTGTTCGTTCAGTATTTCAATCGTCTAAATGCTGGTTCTCAGATATCAGGAAAATCCTAGACGATCATGTAACTAAAAATGCTTCTGACCTTATATAAAATTAGTTCCCACGATTAATTAATATTTTGATACTTAATTTTTCCTGTGTTCGACAATAAACAATTAATTAACTAAACTCAACTATCTTTGTACTATAGTGTACAATGCAGTGTATTGTTTTCTTTTGTAGTTTTGAAGTATCTTTTTCCATAAATAAATTTTTGCAAACACGGTAAGCTTGTATAAATAAACCATTAAAGAAAAAAACAATTGAGAAAGGATGAAAAAATCTCGAATGGTGAAAAACAGTGGAATCCTTGTCGAGTATCTGAAAATTTCTCGACAGATGAAAACCAGCCTATAATCTTTGTAGACCCGGGCACAAAGTTGACACCGCTTATGTCTTTAAAAGGAGAAGAAGATGACGAAAAAGAGAGAAAAAACGGGGGGTGATCGCACTACTTACCACCTTTATATTTTCGGAGTGGTTTGATCAACAAGGCAACAGTCATGGAGTAGACCCAAATTCCTCCAATAATGTGCATCGCCCTTCGTGTAGTTATCGCCTGTACGTACGTGTAGGGCCTGGAAACTGCTATATAACGGTCCACACTAATTGACGTCAGGCTCAGAATGGAGGCTGTTCCGCACATGATGTCCACGTGTCTCCAAATCTCGACAAATGTCTCACCGAGAGTTAGAACAGCTGACTTACTGTCATACAGCAGAAAAATCAACCAGATAGGCATACTTATAACTGTAATGAAGATATCTGCTAGGCAAAGATTTATGATGAAATACCGTGTAATCCGCCTGGCAGAGCGCTGTTTATACACAGCTAAACAGACAAAAGTGTTTGCTATTAGGGCGCCTATGATCAGAAGGCAGATCAGTGAGGCGCTAACGAAAGATGCCACGGTCCCTTGTAAAATAGGCTCCAGAGGCTCGGTTCCCAAGGCAGCGGTGACGTTGGAAGTGTTAGAGACCGGAAGCTCCATGACAAAGACTCCAATGATTTTACTGCGCAATTTGTCCTCACTGGGAAGGTCACCCGGTAAATTTGCTCCTTGGAAAACGCTGAAAGCATGGAAAAAAATAGTTAATAGCTTGATAAGATGGGGAACGATCACAATTTATATCGTGAATAAGCTCATGAGATGGTTCCGGAAAAAAAAAAAAAAAGACTTTTTCAGGACCGAACGATATTTTCAATGCGGAGAATCTCTTCCAGCATCGATCCAACAATAATAAACTCGTTATCGGACGAGGGAAGCCTTGATACTGCCAACAGAGAAGTTTTCTGGTGTTATCCAGAAACGAATTTCTCACCAAAGAAACCTTGAATTTTTCTAATAAATCATGTTTAAGCTGATAGACGAATATGTCACGCCGGCCAATCAGAGCACGAGATTTACATTAATCACAACTATTCACCTCGTGGTGTTATCTAAGAGTTCGTTTTATGGATTTCATGTGTATTTTTCTTTATCTGATGTTTTACGAACGACGAAAATATTTTCGGAAGGTGCGCCGGTGGCTGCGATATGGAGAGGTCAAATTCTTGTCTCCTAAACTGAACCATGGTTGGTTATATCTATTGCATTTACGGTCGAGGAAAGTTATATTCTTATGCCTGAAACCTTGGTCTGGTTTGCTGTAGATGTCAGTTTGTTTTATGACGAAGGTTAAAATAACTTTACTAAACGAAACCGACGAAAGGAGTCATCTCATTACGTGACTCGATCCTATAAGTGTAGATTAACCGCACTCCAAGGCAACCGCTGATAAAAGTGAATAAGTCATTTACTGTACTTCAAAGACCCGATTACTACTTTAACAATTTTAAATGGTCTTTTCGTCCATTTGTATGAAACGATTAGTGCAAAGACGCACAAAACTTCATTAGTGAGTTTATGATTAAGTTACATATTGCAACCAGATCAGAAATACAGCTCATATCCATAAGTTTACATTTTAAAACCCTCGCATCGGACCTCCTTATTAGGAAAACACGCAAATCCGGCTTTCTCTTGGTTTTTATAAAACGGTTTCCGCCCAGAGACTTTGTATCGTCTCTTTCTGTTGAATCATGAATTGACAGCTCTCAGTGTTTCCGTCTCAAACAAAGTCGCAAACCACAATTGTCCCACGCACACTCGCCTTTCCTGTTTAAATAATTGCCCTTAACTCTCCATAATGCTGTGTCTTCATTTCAAAAAGTATATTTCTTGATACGCTCTTGTCTTTTGTCACTAAACTAGAACAACCGAAAATGTTCAAGTCGACGGAATCTAAAAGGAGCCTCCGTTCCGCTTCTCTACACTAGAAACAGTGCGTTTAATTAAGCAATGAAGATACGTTTTAAAATACTCCTTTTTCCAAAACCGCTCTCGTAAAACAGCTTTTCCGTCAGCGTTTTCAGGTGTTTTTAGTATAGATGATAAGAAAAAAAAGCATTAAAAACAATGTGCTTTTGATACCGTAAGTGCGAATAAGATTCCAAACTAAAAATGGTGAACACGCAAACAGCCAGTTTCCAATAACTAATAATCATATCCCAAAGATGATAAGAAATCGCTTAATTCAAAATAATTGAGACATCTAAATGAAATAAGTGTACAGAAGCCAATCGCCACACGTAATTAAGCACTTGAAATCGGACTAGCATTCTACAGCAAGCAACTTTCTGTGAGATTCCTTTTCTTCTGACAGTGCTGTTTGGACTAGCTTTGAGGTCATTAAAAATGGAGTGACAATGAAAAGTGGAAAAAAATTTCAGAGCATTAGCATGGAATATGGCCAGAGGGGCCCAAGTCAATTATATCGTGACCGTAAGTTGTAATTTCCAATCAATTAGAGCAAACATTCCAGCCGAAAAGATTCTGGAGAACTATTATGTGCCTTAGCAAATCGAACCAAATTTGCACACTATGTCTGGTTTACCTCAAAATCCCCAACATTAACGCTATTAGCCTTATGTTGATATTTGCAAAGTATATGTTTTTTATAGAAATATTATCAGTGAATAAACCACACGCGATCACAGAACAGATTTTTGAGACGCCGAGTTTTCACAACAAGTTATAATTTTATCTCTGTATCTAAGCTATTAACTTAGGAAATCAGCCGTAAAATTTTAAGATAAAGAAGGAATTCGAGTTATAAAGAACTGATTCAAGTTAAATGAGATGATGGACTTAAATTCCTGTTATTTTTGTTTCAGTGTGTCCGTTGCCAATGATAAATCTTCGCCTGAAAATCGTCGCGTTTCTCTACATGAAATACGCAAGCCAGTTCAGAATTCTGGCGATAGTGATGTCATGAAAGCAACTGATAAACGTCTATCTATAAAACATGCTTCTTAAGTTCTTAAAAATACCAAATATTACTTTTCCTTCTTACGCTGGTTACATTAACTCTCAACGTGAAATAAAACACTCGACTTATTTTGTCCCAGCGGCACAGATGAAGACATGTTTCACAAACAACTGATACGCTCACTTACCACTGGAAGCGCGTCCGTCCAAAATTTCTTCTTCCTTGACGAGATGTTAGTTTACAGACTATATTTTTCGTTAGCTACTTCAGTTAATGGGTTTCGTTCGCAATCGCGAATTCTATCTGTAACACGAAAGATCAACTGCCTTGATATGGACCCCGCTGTGCATTGCATTCGGAGGTAAATAATCTGTTTTGAATGTCTGACCTCAAGGAGGGATTTTGAAACTGAAATGATGCGGAAACTAGCTTACTAATCCCCTGAGGCTTGTTTTGCAAACCATCCTAAAAGTATCTTTAAACCTTTTGAAGAAGTAAAGACAATCGACTGATGAATATAATGGTTGGTCGAGCTTGTAGATTATAGGGTCGTTTATTGCCTTTGTTTTTTTGGCTTGTGTCATAACTCGCTCATTCGCTTTTGTAAGTTGTCATCTCTGAAAGAGAAATCTTTAATGGATACACAACTGTCTGGATCACCGATGATTCCGAGAGAAGCGCTGATGACTGGCCTGAATTAGTTTCATCGCACTTGCCTCAAAGTTTGTATGTCTCTAGATGTATACTCTTAAAAAAATACTTAGAAGAACTTGCACTAAAAAGTTAGAAAAAGGTTCCTCTTTGCTCCCTTTAGGTGGCATTAAAAATTCTGTTTCGAAAATTGAATATTCAGGAGTGTGAAAAGTTTATCTGTTTTGGCTAATGCACACATGAGCAAGTAACACCCCTACTGTTCATTGTTTCACAGCAACGGTGTGAACAACGGATTAAAGAGACATAAATCGTAGAGCTGCGAAAGCACCCTATGTTGCAGTTGTGTGAAAACCTCACAATACTGGCGATAGAATTTTAATTATTATTACGCTGCTGGGATCAAACAGAGACGAAGAAACACCAACAGAGATGCTAGATTCCAGAAAATCACTTCCAATATTATTTGCAACTCATTAATATCAGTTTATTTTGTTACACGCATTTTCATTGACTTTGCGATCTTGAAGGTATTCGCCGCGTCTTGTAGTGTTTTAGTTCAGTGATGATGCTTCAAGTTATTCAAGGCGGCGGCTGATCTCACTGTAAGTTGATAGATTATCTTTCCTTATGTAATTGATCCGCCGTTCCGCCTTGTTTTAGTTTTGATCTTTAGGCCACAGAGAATCGTTGATTAACGAATTCTAACTTTCCATCCTGAGCGCAACTTCAGAAGACCCGTCCACCTCATTTACCTGTGTTTGGAGGCTTTGAAGAACGAGGCATAACACAATAGACGCTATTCTTATTTAATGACATGTAAATGAGTGACCGGGTAATCTGAAGTTTAGCCTTTCCGCCTTTTGACTGGGATAAAGATAGGGTGTGAAATCGCCCAACCTTTGGCCCAACCCAAATGAGCTTACGTGGGATGCCAAGTTTTAAAATAAAGCAATCGAGCAGATTGGCTTAGTGCTAATGCTGTTATTTAGTTGAATTTCTCGATTCATCATTCCATCTGTCTATTTTCCGGTTTCAAGGTCACTTTCTGATAGTGTAAGGTTTTCAGGTTACTTACAGATTTTCAAGGAAAACACGGAAAAAAAAAAAACAGATCTTCAAAGTTATAACTGGCGAACCTCGGCGGAACAACGAATACTGAGAACTTCAGAGTGTCGCGCGATGTAGCCCACCTGTAAAGGCAAAAAGAATCGATTTCCTTCATCAAAGAAGGAAAACAAGGAGAATGGATTTCCGTTTCTTCTTATACTGTGAACTGCAAATTCCTCATTCTTATGTAACGTTTCGTGGGTCGCCATTCTCTTTGTTTGTTTTCTAGTTTCCAGTTCCTTTTGTAACAAATAGGAATGAACAGCTTTAATTCAATATATATCTCATTTCCTAGTTTTGAAGGAAAACACGGACAATCAAAATATAGCTTTTCAGAGCTTTCGCTGACCGACAGGTCACGCAAAAGATTTGGAAAATGTACTGAAGAGAAAAATAGAAGCTCTCTGACGATGTTAGAAACGTTTTAATTTTCCGCTTCTTCCAAATCCTGGGAACTGAAACTTTTCTCTCTTTGTTTGCTTTGTAATTTCTATAGCCAGTCTTTTATTACAAGTTCCCGGAGATGACAGGCCTAAAGCAATGTCTTCATGTCATTTTTGCGATTTTCAAGGAAGACTCTCCAGAAAGTGGAACTGAGTGATCTCTAAAATTATAGCGGGCTGGGAGAATTACAAAATTAGGCTCAAAGGTAAAGCTTGCAATGGTTAAAGTTTTAAAGACAAAGACAGTACACTTCTGTTGACTTGTTTTTTCTATGAACTACAAATTTTCAAAAAGGCTGGAACAAACTACAGTTTCGAAATGTGTGAAAGCGTTCCTTGCAGAAGTAAACCCTACTAATCCAGTGGGTGGAAATAAGGCCTCAAAAAAATCATTTCCACCTATTAGATAGGTAGGGTTTATTATTGCGAGGAACGCTTTCATACATTTCATGAAACCGTAGTACACATATATGATTTTCATATACTTAAAAATTCATTAAGCTACAGTTTCCTTCAAGAACATTTGAACTGAATCAACTTCGGATGTTTTCACTCTAGCGACGCGATGGCCGTGAATTTCCTCTTTTTACGAACATTTGATATAGCAATCTGTTATGTTCATAGTTGCTTTAAATCAGTTCCTACCAACTGATGACTGAAACCACAAGTACTTGAAAATAAAGTCGATGAAATCATTTGTTATTGAAAAATATCTGTTTATTTTCTCTTGCCTCAAGACAAAGAAATTTTCTGGACGACTCAGGGTTCAATTATCCCACAAAATACATTAGATGTGTACCTTTGTGGTAAAAACTATCTCTCCTACCCTTATGGATCGAGAGATCTGTTTGAGTCAGTACATGATGTGGCTGATTTCAATCTTTTCTCACTTAAAGACTTCTCAGATGACATTATACATGATCACGGAATCATTGACCTCCATGGTTAAGTCGAAGAACCACAATACCACTGAAATTTATGGGGAAAGATTAATTTCTTGCAGTGCGGCGCGAATCAAAGTCGCTTTATTTCAATTTTTGAGTTGCCGACCCCCTCACTGACTTGCGCGTGGCTTTTGATAAATTATTTTCGTATATTTCGTAAATTAGCTCCCTTGACACAAAATTTGGTTGAGCTTTATGTTGAGGTACGAAACTCCACAGCATTTTTAGTCATCCAGAAAGAGAGAAATTGCAATAGATTGATCATTCTTTGCGTATGAAAACGAAACGCGCCATCGGAACAACATGGCCATCTTCCAAGCTGAATTCGAAGTTGCAATCACCGGAACCGAGACCGATTGGGTCTCGGCAGTAATTTGTATAATAGCAAGATATATATAGATAGTGCGACTGGTGAGAAGACCAAGAATCCTCCAAAATATTAAAAAAAAAACTTCATTTTCAAGCAACGTGAAATATAAAACTCGTAGTCTTCTGCATCAAATTGAACTAGTTGCGATAATTGCCTCCAGTGGTCAGCTAATCAAATTTAAGGCCGGTCAAAAATAAACTCAGTACTGTTCGGTATCATTCTCCAATTTTTTAAATGTAAACCAAACTGAGTTTATCGACGTGCAGCTATGAAGAGCATTGTCTGAAAAGCACTCCATGCGACTGAGTACGGTGATGCTGTTCATTAAAACTGTATCAACTATTTGGAAGAAGGGAGGTCTTTCTCTCTGCGCAGTTGAATTCAATTCGCAATTAAGGAGAAAGATAAGCCCGTTTAAATAACTAAAATAATGAAGAGGGTAACCTGTTTTTTTCCTAACTTGTTTTTGCATCATAAAACGATCTCTTACCCGCTGTGGTGCCGATGTTCTTGTAGCTTTTATTGAACCGGTGTCAGCACGTGCGCCAGAGTGAACTATCCGTTCTCAGTATTGCCGGCAGTTTGAAGCCTCCCTAATTTGTTGTGGGCTCACAAATACAACTCTTTGTTGATAAACTATTGAAAAATATATGTCGTTCTTTTAATTTCCCACTGGCAAATTTCCTTTTACGACTTTAATATCATTCTGAGAATATTGTTTTCTCTAAAAGACAAAAGAAGCTAGGAGTCAATTGCCCCCAAGGCGTTCAAATTTTATTTGAATTACAAAAATTTGGATAATATTCATTGCAGCACTGTGAGCACGTCGGAAGTTTTCCTTTTTATTTATGAATACAATTTCTGTTGCTTTGAATTAGAGCATTTTATTTTATCTTATCGTTACTGTACTTAAGTTCTTCTTTCTAACCACGAGTGAGGTATTTCTTTGGTTTCTCCGCTCTCATGTAAAAAAAATATTCATTTTTTATTTTCCCGTTTTGACAACAGACTATTAGTTCGCCACGACAACTGTTAAAAGTAAATCAGACTAAAAATTTTACCTGAGGCGTTCAAATGAGCCGCAATGTCGGAAAGTATCGTAGGTTAGGTCTCAGTCAAATTGAAAGCAGCATTTTTGAAAAATTCAATTTTTGTATAATGCTGACAGGGGCCAATTGTAGGCAATTGTTTTGAAGAGGGAGGCTACAAACTTTAAAATGTTCCTCAGGCTTCAATATGAATCCATTACAAGTACCCATCAAAGAGGAAACCACGAGTTTAAAAACAAATCTCAAATCAGAAAGAGAGCATCAGTTTTCCATTAGCTTTGTAAGCTACAATGTTACCATAGCAACCATGACCTTTTCAATTTTTCTCAATGTCAAATATGAAATTTAAGTTCGCGACAGTCGCAGCCCTTGCTGTGTAAATTAAAACTTTCTGATAGTATCTCGCACTCTTATGCCACACAGTCAAAGTGATAATTGATAAATAAATTTAAATAAATGAATTGATAAATTAGTGAATTAGGGTGGTTCCTCAAACATACTTGAGTTTAAGATCTAAAAATGTCGTTTGAAGAAAGGGCCATTCACTACATCTGCTATAAAACTTAATCTTCAAAATTCTTAGATGATGGTTGGGAATTTATGATACTATAAAAATGTATGGATGATATCTTTACCAACAAATTTCTGTTGTATGATGTGTTTTGTAGACGAATGCTCGTCTTCCCAAAAGTTTTTACTTCGACTCGGATAAGTCTTAAACATGGTCTCTTAAAAGACTGCATGATTTGTCATTTCACAACAAGACACGAGTGACTCACCCTTTCATTTAACTTATGTGCAGAATCCATGTAAATGAAAATCTGACTCGCGAATATTATTCTAAACTATTAGCTATTACCACCTTTGTCGGGCAATGATAAAACTGCGTAATTTTTTCCCCCAAATATCATAACTGAATTTTGAATTTTAACATGACTTACATGGGAAAAAACAGGATTGTTTGACATCCAGCTCTCGTGCATTATGCAGGTTCAGTAGATTAAAATGTCCCCCACTGTCGATTCTTGCCCGCTTTTTTATCTCGCCGCGCACGGAAGTGTGCCAACTGACTCATGCCTATCTCAGAAGAGGCCACAAATGCTGTTTGGTTCCACCAAGCTAATGAATCATTTCATAATAAAAAATAATGAAAGAAAGATTTAAGGTGAAAAACACAAACAACAGACGAACAAACGAAAAAAAAAGGTTAATACTGAGTTCAACTTAGAGATAAAAAAAAAAGAAAAGGATAATAACACATGATCAACGGACAAACAACGACATTTGCCGTGAACAAAAACTGATAAAACTGTCAAAATCTCCTGACTTGTTTTGAAGCGAGGGTAATGATTTACAAAAGAATTTGATCCACACGAAACCACTGTTCAAAACTGGGCTTTCCGAACGTGTCCAACGTTAGCTTTTAAAAACGAATTCATTTTCGAAAGTACTGAAGAATAATGTATCATTCCAAATAAAGCCTATCACAATGTTTATAAAAAGCTTTGGCAGGAATGAATTCAATTCGAAAACAATAGGATGATCAAGGTGCAATTGTTGGAGTGACTAAAACCTGTCGAACTAGCTAGCGACTACTCCTGAATGAAGTGAAGTTGTTTCAAACATATACTCATTATCCAGACATTTAAGCGCATCCTACAATTTGGCTCGATTCAGATATCAAGTACTTCCTTTGAAATGATACGTGCCATGTGTTGGAGGCGGGCTTTGGAGCCTCTTAGAAACCGCTAAACTGTAGGACTGAAAATACATCCAAAACCGCAAAAAAATTCGATCAAACCGAAAACCGCATGCAAAACCGATAAATTTTCACATCCCAGTTATCAAAACCCTAATCGATCTGTTACAGCGGAGACAAGTGGAGCATAAAGAGGTTTCGCGGTTATTCGAGATCAGTGGGGGCACATAACTGCCGCTCAGATCGAAGAGAAACCCAAGTAGGAAGAAACATAAGCCACGTGCACATCGCATACCAAATCCAAAAATACATTAGTATTTTGACGAAAACTGAAAACCAGATTCTAAAAAACGGGAAGTCTGTAAACTGCAATGAACACCACAACCGAAAAACCTATCTGAAATATACCAAAAACCGCAAAACCAAAAATTCCAATGTCCCCCCCCCACCCCCTCCTATTCTATTGTCACTGTTTTCTAAATTATTATAAGCAAAAAAATAAACTGCATTAGTGCCACACTTACAATAGTTTAGGCCCTAGTTGTTGAAAGGTTGGATAGTGCTATCAACTGGATTAATCTCCAGCGGATAGCGTAGTGCATTTTGCTATCACTTATCCGCTGGACAGCGATTTATCTGTTGGATAACGTTATCTATCTATTATACAAATGGAGCTAGATTTCCTTGGTAGTCGTTGTTTGTTCTCGTCACGCAGGGCCTTCCCTCCACCTGTTGCGCGCGTCACGAGACCAAACAAATAAGATTACGCTCGCCTGCGACCATAGCTCGTGATTAGCATTTGGTCACACGGGTTTATTCGTCCGTGGGAACCTTCCTGCCGATTCCGTCGATAGTTTAATTTTTTCACTGCACTATATTTTGCAATGAGGCACAAGGGAGTAAACTGATTAGTAATGAAACGCCCAAAGCATACATATATCTTATTAGACGTTTTATTGTGTAGTATCGCTGAGTATTTTTGCGAGTGCCGTATTTTGACGAGCCCGTAGGGCGAGCCAAGAGACAAATAGTGGGTAAAAATACTCAGCGATACTACACACACACAAAAAAACGTCTAATAAGCTATTTATTATCCAACACGCCAAATTGTTATTTCAGTGCGGGCGAATTTCGCTGATATCTATTTACTGAGAGCGCGTGACAGAAGTATGCGAAACGGAACGGAATTGGCGCGTTGTCGTGGTGCTGTTTCTATTTTCTTCAATAAATGAAGAAATTTCCTGGTTTTCTAGCTTTTTTTTCTTCGTTTGATTTATCTAATAAACTTGGATCTTTATTTGCCGGCCATTCCGACTTTTCCTGGTCAGAAATATGACTCAAATTGTCCGCCATTTTTTTTCGTAACTTCAATC